GGGGCATAGTGACGTCAATTCAAAGAGCGCACATGCAAAAACGATTGGCTTTTACAGCATTTGATGATTTTGCGTGGTCAGGCACATTCCACCACTACTACCCTCTTCCTCTTAGGCTCTTGACAGCCCACCCTTGACGTTTAAGGGAACATAGTTGGTGGGGGGATGGCTAGTCGTCGTCGGCGGCGGCAGTAGTGTTGGTAGTAGTAGTAGTAGTAGTAGTAGTAGTCGTCGTCGTAGTAGTAGTAGTAGTAGCAGCAGCAGTTGTTGTTGTTGTAGAACCAGTAGTGGTACCACCACCACCAACGCCGCCGCCGCCACCACCACCACCACAACCACCACCGCCAGCGCCACCACGGCTGCCCCCACACTCCAATGCGATCACACTCTAACAGCCACGACTGCTTCCCACCGCAACCACAGCTACAATCTCTTCACATCTGACCCTTAAAGGGAACAGGCAGGCCTAATGTCGACATACCGAATCGAGGTAAGTACGTTGCGTGTTGTATTTGCTGGATTCTTTTTGGGTTGATGAAGGGTTCACATTTTTCTTCCCTCCCGCTTGGCTGGTCCTTCATGTAGTCGGGTTGGTTTAGAGCTTAAAGTTTAGGATCGAAAGCTCCACGCCCGTTGCCGATTTTGATTTCGAGAACCAGAAATTGAGCTTGGAGGGAGCAGCGCGTAGAACAAACAGGACACAAGGTGGGCCTTAAGGAGATTCAAAGGATGTTAGCTCCGTCACAAAAGTGTGAACTTCTGACATCTCAAGTCAAGGCAATCCTGCTAGAAGTCTTATCTCAAGAGGTTGGCAGCCTTGTTGGGCCCCTGCACCTAGCAAATCTACCACTAGGGACCAGGCCTTGTCAAAGACCATGCCAGGAGCGCCAAGTCTCTTGCAACCTCGGGGATATAACGAAACAATGCCCTAAGTTTGGGAAACCGAAGCAGCTTCTTGACTGCTATTCAACCAACTTGAAGCTGTGTTGCCTGCATTACCTCAACAATTTAGTGGCTAGGCAGTCTCCTCTTACCCAGGAGCCAGCCAGTAAGCCAGACCTTCTCAATACCAACACATCATGCAAATCTTTCACGCCAACCCTCGTATTTCAGCAACTGACTCCTTTCAGCAAACCTGACGTTGCCAACTTGCATTCATTCCAAAACCTGATAATTATGTTACCTGTTTCCCAACCACATTGCTCACAAACTCCACTTGGAAAAGGCAAGCCTGGAGTTTCAAGGACCTGGCATCCGTGCTTTGACCAGCAGATTTCAAGACAGGAAGTGCTCGCTCCGCAACAGCATGAATCAGAACAACGTCCTGCCATCAGCAGAGATGTTTGGACATCCTTCTGCCAAGCAGTACGCACAAAGAAAGCCTGATGATGGCGGCTCTGAGGGTACTTACAAGAATGCTACAAGTAACCTCAACACAAGCCACAGCAGAAACAAAGGCAAAACAACCCAAACCAGAACAGCAGCTGGCAGCTGCAACATCACCATGGCCATTTTCAACCGTAATGTCATCGTCATCAGCCCTCAGTGCAGCAGCAGCAGCAGCAGCAGCAGCAGCCGCAGCCGCAGCCGCAGCCGCAGCAGCCGCTGCCAAACTACGACGGACAAAGTCGACACGCTGCTCACCACTACCAACGACACGAACAACAATGACACTACCAACACAACACCGACCCTTCATTCCAGTCACTACAGACGAATGTCGCGTTTGTACCACCAATTACGGCAACAACGATTGCAATCGTGATGCCGACGCTTACAATCCGAGTCTGTTTCTCGCTCGAGCTGTACAGAACAGACTGACCAGACAGCACCCGTGCCTGGACCTCCAGCTGGCCGTGCGTCCAAAAGCTGTTTGACAGATCCTACACAGTCAAGGCTCAGGTCAGGCGAGTCCAATACATGGAAAATTGCATCACGCGAAACATCTTCAGCCATGCTGAAACAGCATACACTGAATCTTTCTGGGTCCTGCCGATTCATGTTGTCGATTTGCGCCAATGACGCAGCAGAGGCTGCCGATGTTAAAGGGTAACCCGTCAACACCATCCTCGCCCAAGCCTGCGACATGTAGCAAACTTGCTCGCACTGCTGAAACCTGTATACTAGCACGCTTTGCCTGCACCGTGTTTGCAAGATCACGTGGCGGCCATTCACCTCAAACAGCCAAGCGCCCTTCGATTTCTATCAGCGGCCATATACAAAGTACCAGATGCAAAGCACGAGATGGCTTCAGTCCAGACACGGCTTTCGGCAATGGCTTGTTGCGCAATGGAATTCAAAAGGTTCTCGTGGATGCACACCACCTAGCACGTGATTTGACACCCACTCCAAACACTTGCAAAGAGGAGGTCCGGAAACTCACGTGTCATCGGGTTGTCTCGCTCTCTTACTAAGGGGGGAAACTTAGTCAGGCTTAGTTGCCTGCCTGCCCATGTGCCCAGGCAATGTTGACCACCTCCTGCAATGTACCATACACAGGTCCATGCTCGACCTCAAAACTGAAATTGCCCGTAGATTGATTGGGTCAAATTCTTGAAGCCGGGTCCTGGATAGTGAAAGCGCTGCTCGCCTGCATGCTAGTCTCGGATGATTGCCTGGGGCAGGTCCCTGATACCAAACATGTTACATCATGCCGCACCCTGATGACTACAAATCTCCAGCAGACTCCCGCGCCTGAGAACCAGCAGCCGCTCTGCGATGGCCTCCATGAACCTCTCGTGCAGGAGTAGAAGTCGCGCATATGCCCAACCAGTGTTCGCCAATTCCTGCAAGACTTAAGTCCATATCATTCTGAGTCGTGCGCTAGAATCACTCGAACAAGCAGTGCGGCTAAACTGCCGGAAACTGACTCCAAGGCTAAATCACCGTTCAGCAAAGTCCTGCGGCCGCCAAGTGTGCAGTTTCGGAAGTGCTGCCTGCAAAGCGTCCATGAAGCACACAACCTCTCACATCTTTGGCCATACCTGCTGTGTAGGCCTCTGCAATTGACAGCAGGAGCATTTCGGCAGCAGTGGATGAAGTAGTGAAACCCTGCACGCTGTTTGCCGACTCCTGTCGGATTGCTGATGGTGGGATGTGGCAGCCAGAGACACACCCGTCAGACATAGGACGAAGGCTTGTACAAGTGGCCTGCGCTCCGAAATGATCCACTCGTTCGAGCACTTGCGCAGCAATTGCGTGGAAGAGCAGCACACCTCTTCGCACGACAGCTGGCACACAAATCTACTCTCGGAGCTGACTTCGCTAATTCATTGATATTTCGTTTCGCCTGTATCAACCCTTCCTCCTGGCTCCCTGGAACGTGAGGAGGGACTAGGTAAAATTTCCCCACGCGCAGTCTCCAATGGCAGACAATCATGAGAAAGAGAGTCATGCTACCATGAAAACAATTACTGCCTACGCATAAGATTAGAAAGCTGCTTACCGAGGTCAATCCTGCATTGAGCCTGATCTTCCTCGCGCTACGTAGGTCTGGGCAATATAGTTAGCACCTCTGTGTGACATGATGGTAGCATGATGGTCCTGGGACCCTTGACTCAAAACATGGGCTTAGACTCCAAGAGATGATGGGGCAAAGATCCTCAGGCCATCGAGACTTACAGGGGTTGAACCCTGTCTTACATGATACACTGCGACCAACCTGTTGGCCATCATCTGAATTTCTGCGTGCTCGCTCATGTGTTTGCTTCTGTTGGCGTTTCTTCCGGCTACGCTTTGCAAACAGGTAGCTACTGCAACAATCAGGGCCTGTCTGCGTTGTGTCTCATGCGATTCCTTTGGTTTAGCGCTGGCTCTGAACTGTAAACGTTTGCAAGCAACTAGATGCCCATGCGCCTGGAAAGCTTTGCTTTGTGAATGACCGCGCTGTGCTGGAGATGTCCTTTTCTGGACTTTGGGCACGGAACAATTTGAAAAGTTTGTGTAAAGTGTGAGAGTTAGATCAACAAGCTCCTGAGGCGATGCCGACGGGAGTCCTGAAATGAAACTGCGCTGAGCATCTTGGTTGAGGTGCTGTCCATGCTCTCGAAAGCTACATCCTGCAATGAATGACGCCGCAGTTGCTGCCAGGAGAGGCTCAGAACGAGATGACAGCCTCCAAGCCAGGAAATTCAGGCGGCCATCATTGCAACTGCAGCAAAGTATTGCAACGCAGTCCATGAGGCAGGCCCTGGGCTACCCGAGAAATACAAGAGGCGTGCTACTAGCCAGGGAGCCTTGCAAGTCTCCGAGCGGTGTTGGCCTGCACGGATAAGCAGCTGATCTTGCGATCTCAAAAACAGCACGATTCCCCCAAGCCTGCTCCTGTGGCTTGGATGTGTTCCAAGCGGACGCAGACGGCGATTGCAGGCAAATCTCCAAACCTTGCACACAAGGCAAAGGACAGGTCGATTTAGGACAAGCTCCCACATGAAAAATCGAAATGTTTCCGATACTTGGATCAATTCCCCACAGCTCTGACTGCACTTAAAACTTATGGGCCTGGGCCTGGGTGGGGACTTTGAGCTCAAATGCCCCGACGTCCAAAATGGGATTACTACTACGTCGTACGTGTTTCACGTCCTTTTCTGCCAGCTTCCTTGATATTCGTCTTTGCTTGCAGGTTGATCTGGATTTGATGCGGAGACCAGGCCTTAAGGGATGCAAACCATACCCGGGAAGTAGCACGTACAGCAGCTGCAGCAACAGCAGCATCATGCAAGCGTAGTCGCATCAGCTGCAGCGATGGCAATGGCAGCAGCAGTGGCAATCATGCGTGCGCTGCAACCTTGACGCGCAGAGCAAATTCTCATGTTGCAAAGACCGAGGCAATGAGTAGTAACTCAAAAACCTTGTTCACGACATCATGGACAACACCTTTTGCTTCCAGCCTGCATCGACTCTGCTGGGAAAGAACCACTGGCCCAGCTCACTTTAAGACAGCATGCGCGGAAACTAAAAACCAGATCCCCAGCAATGGCAGCAGCTGCCCTCAAACATGGACCCACATCACCACCAACAACCACCACCAGCAGCAGCAAAAAGTGGAAAACAACAACCGGCCGACCAGCACAACTGTCTTCTTCCACAACAGCAAGCAAAACCGGCTGTTCGAAAGCATTGCTGCCATTTGCCATGCGAACAACTGCACGCCTTTCAGCGCGGCAGCATCTGCCAATGACACGTTGTACCACAGCCTTGCTATCACAGATTGACTTCACAGCGTCGTGCTCAACCTGAATCCCGGTTCCCGGCAGGGTGCCACAAGACCACACAAGGTTGGCAACGCCTTGCGCTCCACAAACCTGGCTTACACAACACGGTTCTAATCTCAATGGCAGCATGCAACGAGGAAAGCCTTCAGTTTGGGAAGAACTGCATCACCAGTTGCATCCAACAACCTTCATCAGCCACGATCATGCAATGGTCCGGTGCACAATCACTACGACTCAGTCTGGGACGTCCAGTCGCGCGACTCCAGGATTGCAGCTGACCAAGCCGTGATGCAAAGATCCTTCAACATCGGTTGCAAGAATTGGCCGTGGACAATATGGAGCTTGTTGACCAAAATGACTGCGGCATGTCACAAGGGCCTGTGGGGTTAGTACGCCCATCTTGCTCATAATTCGGCTTGACAACGCATCCACCTGTGATTCCAAGGCAGTTTGCACACTCAAGGAGCTGCGAAACCTTCAGGCTGAGACCAATGGAGGGTGTCGGCTTTCGAGGCGGGCCAACGACCACATAATGTTGGATGAATGCTGGCCTCTCACAACACATGCGTCTTGAAGTGGCCCTCCTCTGTTGCACGCTGTGCAAGAGCTTTGTCGCTGTAAAATTCAGCAATGACACAGATGGATAGAAGCCCGAAACTGCTCGAACTTGGCATGATACTGGAATCCTTCACCGTGTCCCGCATGGAAAAGTGCCGNNCCCGCCCCGCCCCCCCCCCCCGCCAGCATGGCTGCCTGTTATTATCCTAATCCGCCGGCGTTGTCACAATGCTGGACTGAAGAACTAACCTGCCCTTCCTGTTGGATGCTGTGCGCAGCTGTCTTACTGCCAGGGTTAAGCAACGGGACAGACCCTGCCCTGGCTTCAAAAAAACAAAAACAAATCTAAGCGACCCACTGATGAACTCGTCCATGATGTGCACGGCACGGCTGCCCATGGATTCTACTGGAAGAGGATGTTGATACCGCAGCTTGCTGCAAGTCCACATAATGTTCGAAATCTCTTGGGCACCTTCCACGGTTTAGGACACAAGCAGGCCTAAATGTGCCTGGTTTCATTACGCGCGAAGGGCTGGCCTAGCTCAAGTGTCCTGGCCACAACAGTGTTGGACATAGCATCAAAGTACGCCGCGTCAGCCAGCCGCAGTTGAGCTGATGCCCAAGCCGTACCAGAAATTCCTTGCGGATCGAGGCCTGACATAACATGATCACTCTTCTGAATGGCGTTGAAAGGCGCAGATCTTGCACTTCAGGCATCTGAAGCAACAGCTGCAAAAAGAGCGCCAACATTGTGCTGACCATCAAAGCGTTAGTAGTTACCAGGCGCTTGCAACAAGACCGTGCCCCATGATATACAATATCTACAACAACTACATGTTGCAAATATGGCCACACATAATATCACTCTCAACGGCGAATCAGATTCTGTCACTTGCATCAGTTCACACGGTGTTCAAACGGCTAAGATCAAAAATGGCGGTTGGCCCAAAAATTCCCCGATGCCTGAAATGCGTTGCGTTGCTTGACCCGCAAAGGCAAGACTTAGCGTCACGTCCACATACTGCAATGCGGCCTGACACGTCAATTCAAAACATACTTCGCGCCAAACCAGACAATGAGTCAATGAGCAATCATTTCACACAAAAATATGCACGATGTCGGTTGTGGAGCCTGCCCCCACATGGTGCTCGCCAGCTCTTGGGGTTTGAACTCGTCCAAACGAAGGATGGCAGCTGCGCCAATATCCTGTGTTCATTACATTGGGTTCACGCACACCCGCCACGGAAAAAGCAACAATGTGTCCTGGATGAGGGCCGTTGGCTTGGAAGCCAATCAAGCACACGTCCGTATTGTGTTTGCTAAGTGCCGCGGGGGCATTATGCGCGCGTCATCCGCAACTGAAGCCTGACCCAAGCTTCTTTGCAAGCGCCCATGCACGAATCAAACGGTGCGCTGGAAGATTTCCCGGTCCGTCAGCATCGAACCATCCCGGCTTTTTGCCAATCGATGCAACGCGGTCACCATGTGAGCTTCCTCAAGCTCGGCCCATCGCTCATCCACGAAGGCCAAAACGGCAGCTCCAGATTCCAGGGCTGTTATCTCCTTGTTAATCTTAACATCGAACGCTGGCGGAGGCGCACTCGTTGCCCTTTGCTACACCCGCCGCGCTGGCCGGGCAGATCTGGCAGCAGCATCGCTGGCATAAAATGAGGACATCCACACCGAATCCCCGCCCACGATTTCTGTACCATCTAGGCTGCTCTGTGTGTAGTGTTGGCCGTTCATCGCAATGGGCATATGCCATCAGATACATTGTATGATATGATTCTCTGTTTGTTGGTTTTTGTTGCTGCTGCTGTCGCATGGACATGGAATAACAATCCTGCGGGCACCGTTCCTGGCGAGCACGAATCGATATGCTGTTCTGTAACGGTCAGGAAGCACAAGGAATTTTCTAAAAAAACCTTTCATGACCCATGGCTTTCCTCTAGCTGATCGCTATGCTCATTGGGGTCATGGCCCCCATCCAAAGCTTGAGCTTCTTAGACTTGAAAACCCTGAATGGTAAAGAGCTCAACGTTTATAATAAATGTCGAGGGGTCAGGGATTAGGGATTAGGGTTTACGGTGCTTGTTCAGGGTCGAAGATGCATGGACAAGAAAAGGATACCCGAAGTTCACTACCATGGCAGCACGTAGTGACGCTGGCTTGCTTTTGTTTCCAAGGCATGCTGCAATGCCCTGTTCACTGCACTTGCCAGGCAAGGGGTGCCAGCATCATATGTACATC